CCCCCTTCATTTTTCCACCCTTGTTCCCACCAGCATAACCCTCTCGCAGGGAAAAAGTCATAGAATCTAACAGGTCTCCTGCTTGTGTTTTTGCTTAGCTGTTTCTAGTCTTGATCATGGCAAGTCTGGGCATCATAGAAGGGAAAAATGCTGACATCCAGCGGTGTTCCTGATGATAGCATTGCACAAGACTTTTGGGGCTGAAATGGTCTAGTGAAAATCCAGAAGTATTTGCTATTGCTGTATGTACATTCTTGGGGTAAATTTTTGTGCTAAATGCTCTTTAGGAGTTTTCACCCATGTCCTTTCCATCTTTTTTTCCTTTCCCCTCTTTAGGCAAGGAAGCAAGAAATGGAGCAGAAAGCAAAATAACTCCCAAACTCAAAGTAAGACATCCTTATAAAGCTGGGTTTTGGTCAAAACTGACAGAACATTTTGCAAAGCTGCATAATAGAAGGGACACTTCAACTCTGCTGAAGTGACACGTCCCTTTGTACAGCAGAGGTGTGAAGTTCCTCTATCTAACGTGTATCATGCAAGTGAACAGCTCCTGTCACTGCCTTTAAAATACCCTTCTTCCCCCACCCTTTTCTCTTCTGTCTGGTCTACATTTTTGAGCCTGAATTGAGTTCTCTCTGCATTGGGCACGAGGAGACATCTGCTTATTAACCTCATATAGCCATTAGTATGCTTTCAAGTATTACCTTTTTTATTTCAGTGAGCAGTGTTTCTCCCTGTTCCCCCAATGACTTGTTCCCTTTGCACATTCTGATGTTGAAATCACTGTCCTGGCAATTCTGGGAGTGTATCTGTAAATAGCAAACTTAATTATTGTGCAGGTGGCAGGAGCTGCATTGAATGTGGCAACGTGTGTTCAGATGGACAAAATTAACTTGTCGTGTTTATTTCCCAGCTAAAATGGAAATGCGGGAAAGAAGATGAGACAAGAGGGGGATACTCAAAAGAGGTTCTGCTGCGGATTCTACAAAAGGTCCTGTCTGACACTCTGTCCTACTGCTTGATCTTCCTCTGCTGTCAATGGTATAAGAAAGGACAGTAAATTCTGGGAAGCTACATGCAAACCAGAGCAGCTTCCTTTTTGCCCTTTTTGCCCTTTTTGCCCTTTTTGCCCTTTTTGCCCTTTTTGCCCTTTTTGCCCTTTTTGCCCTTTTTGCCCTTTTTGCCCTTTTTGCCCTTTTTGCGCTTTCTCACTCATGCCATTTTCAAAGATCATCAGCGTGATCCGTTAGCTGTAACTGTTCCCCAGCTAGCACCTTTCTCTCATTCCCAACAGGGACTGCTGTGGAAATAGAGCAACTGCAAACTCCTCCCACTGAATGGTTCATGCCCTGTATAAAAGTTAGTCTGGCTGTGCACTTTTGCCTTCACTTAAAGCACAGTGCATTAGCTGCTGCGGGAAGTTCAGAGACGGGAATAGACAAGCCTTTGATCTGATTATCCCAGCATGTGGTCTTTTCTTTTCCCTTCATGCAAGTATCTCCTGTAGCTCTGACGCTGAGCTGAGCAGCCCTCTTGCACTGGGGCTTGCTGGAAGCAAAGCGTGTAGCTCCATGCCTCCCCGGAATTATTTCCTGGAGGGACAGAAATTATGATAGGTTGGGATCAGTGGAAGCATCATGCAAGACAGAAGGGGTGACGGCTCAAGCCTCATGTCTGTGAAAACACATGTTTTCTCTGCACGCATTCCACAGATGAACTTCACTTCTGGGTCTGTAATTAACTTTTCTTTCTTCCTTTGTCTTAACAGTATGGCGATGTGCTCAATTTATTGATCTCAAGTAGGAAGACTGGGAGTGCAGTTGTGGAATTCGCTACCGTTAAGGCCGCTGTAAGTCTGGTGGAGACCCCAGCTGTGTGTAATGGAGAGTGGGCAAGAAGTTGTATTGCAGAAGGGAAGGGTTAGCACACTGACGGCCTAGGGACGCTGCCTTGTCATTAAGGCAGTGGAGAAGGGTAATGAGAGTCTAAAGGCACAGATGCATGAAGGGAGTGGCAAAGCTGGAGGCGTAAACCCAGAGCAGATCATGCACATAAACAAGCAGGCTGTGCATGTGAAAGGCTGAGGAAAGAGACACTGCTTTAAAAAGCAGGCACCGAGCCATTTAATCACCTCTCACTGAAGGTGAATTACCCATTGTGGGGATGGGTTTAATGAGTTTTAGGGGTTATATCAGGCATTTGCAGTTTAAAAGGAACCAAAATGTCTTGACTCACTAGGAGTTACAATAATTCATGTAGCTGTAGAAACAGAAATCATCAAGTACCCTTAATTTTAGTAGCTCCCTCAACTTATACTGTACAAGAGTCTTTATTCCTTGTCTCCTGTTTTCCCTCATATATCCAAATAATGAAAAAAAAACCCCAGAATTGCCTGTGACCTGTTTATCAGAAATACTGGCAGTGATATGTTCTATCTATGCTTGATGCAGATATGAACCATAAACAGTGCTGCAAAATCTTCTTTTTTTGTACCCTACTTGGCCTTGATGCCAGGCTGAGATGGAGAAACTTTTATGATTGTTCATGACCTGTGAGGGAATGGGGTCTGAAATTCAGATGGTGACAGAATAATATTTTCATTGGTAGGAGATGGCTGTGAAGAATGAAGTTGGCCTGATAAATAATCCTCTAAAGATTTCCTGGCTGGAGGGCCAGCCCCGGAACAATCCCAGCACCGTCCTTTCTGACAGCACTGGTCAGCCGAGGACTTCACAGGTAAGGAGACATAGGCTGCTGTTATTTAAAGCTGTTTCTATAGCAACCTAAATTTAACTGTGCTTCGCATTTATGCTAAGATATGTTGATTCCCAGCAAAGCTGAGAAGAAGCTGTTAATGAAAGACCTGGCTTTCTGATGAGCCTTTTTGTGCTGAAGCAGTGGCTTTTTTAAAGCACCTTTTGCCTGAGTAGCAGCACAGTGAGAACACAAGCTATTTGGGTGACTTCACACAATCTCACTCTGTCTCTTCCAAGTGAAAAACAGGCATGTTCCTTGCTAAGCCCAAAGCCTCTACTGCCATTCTTCTGGAATTTTTTCTGATATACTTTGACTGTGGGAATCCTCTGGCTGATAACTGGTTGAAGTGGGTCTCCTAGAAGGTTTCTGTAGAGAGGCTTGCTTATTCACTGCATTTGCAAAAGGATGAAATTTCAGTGCTAGAAGGAGACCTATATTCTTAGAGTCTGCAGGAGGGCAGAGAAAGCAATATCAAATTAAACGTCTTTGTAGAGACCTTATTGTGTGCTTTGAGTCCTCTTTCAGTGTGGTTACTTTGAGTGCAAGGTGTTTGTTAACTCTTAGCCACTTCCTGTCTTACTTCATCAGATAATCCCTCTGAACCTGTTCTTCTTGAATAAAAAATGTATTCCAATCACAAAACACATGGAAGGTAATAAAATCTAGTGGTTAAAACATAGAGACCAATCTAAGGCCATGCTGCAGCAAATTGTTGGCTCTCTGTTACCCCTTGCTGCTGTTGGCCCTCGAGTGGGGGGGCCACATCTTCTGAAGCATATTACATTACACTTCGCTTTATAGCATATAATTTATTTTGTGCTCTACATGTCTTCTGATCTCGTTAGTAATTCCTTGGCTGGGAAGGTGTGAAGGCACCCCAGATCCTTTGCTGGTTATTTGAGTTCCAGTTCAAACTTCATGTGACACTTATTCCCGTCTCCTTCCCTGTGGTATAAAGATCAAAAAGATCTAATTGCTGAGAGGACGCCTGCCTCCTGCTGTACAGGTGCCCTTAGTCTGTGTGTCTGTTTCTTTATAAGCCTTGTGTGTGTTCACTACCTAAATATTTTAGTAGCTTATGAGATTGTTCAGTACATTCACTCTCCTGACTTTTTGTTAAGTACTTTATTTATAGTAGATGCATTTATACATCAGAATGCCTTGTTGTTATCCTCATTTTGTTTAGGGTCGTATGTTTTCACCTGGGATGCGTGTTCTTTGTCCGAACAGCCTGTCCTGAGCAGCATAGTTTCCCAGAAATCTCAAACAAAGGCATTACAGCATCGTAGCCCAGGAGCCAGGCAGATCTCCATGCGCAGTGTAGAACCAGTGAGAGTCCTGCAGACACAGCAGATTCACAGAGGTGGCCCGAGTGTTAGAAGGCAAATTAGGGGGAAAAAAAGCAGAATCCAATCCAGTTTTATCTGAGTATCTCTCGCTAATAGAGAATGAGAACGGGCTCACTTGTACCTAAGGGTATGGTGCAATTGCAGTTGCTGGTGCAGCTTGGAGCTTGGTAGTGGATTCTTGCCTCTGTGGCTTCAAAAGCCCTGGCTTTTGACTGAGCTTATCTTGGCTAGTTTCCATGATGAAAGCTTGTTAGTGTGGAACTGCAGCGTCTGCCTGCTGTGAAGGATTAACTTGGTGGAGCAGCAAGGGAGAGCAGGCTAAAGCAGCAAATGGTGTTCATGCTGTGTGGAGGTGGTGAGTCATTTCTGTCCAGCACAGCTTCGTCAATCCCATATTAGCTCCCAAAATGGTGATGGGTTATGGCCAGTGACTTGCATCCTTTCCCAAGAATTGCACTGCTGATGCTTGTCTGTCCTCTCTACTGCTTTCATATGTAAGCAGCAGCAATTGCTTTGCTTACATTGCAGTCTTGCTGTCCAGGCTAAGATCTCCAAGCTGCTCTGGTTCCTGCTTTGCCGAGTTCCTACTCTAGACCTTCCCCAAATCCTGCTGCTGCTTCCACTAGGATGCTTCCAAAATCTGTAAGGTGGTAGTAGCTTCTCTTGGCTGTACTGCTTCCAGTTGAGTTATTCTTTGTCCTCAGCTCTTCACCTCTAGACTATGCAAAATGAGCTCTTTCAGGTATCTGCCTCACTGCCTCAACCTACTCCCTGCCTCATCCCTTCATACCCAGTCTGGCTTCCCAGCCATTGGGGTCCACGTTCTTGCTTTCAAGCTGCATTAATCTCATTCTCATTTAAGCTGCCCTCACTTCCTATTTGCTGCTCTCTCTGGCTTGCTCCTATTTTTGTCCGAATCCACCCCCGTGTTTGCTCCCTCTCTGTGCAAATGCAGCTTCTTCGCTGCTCTGCTTCAGAAAGCAGCCGAAGACCTGCAGTGTTCTCATGGCAACACAGTCGCCACTCATCGGCTTCGGAGCTGTGTCTGCTCCCTGCCTGGGGTAGTCAGCCAGGAGCTCTGCACCAAAGTCTTCAGATAAAGGACAGCCACACATTAACTAGACAAGAGGGGCTTTGGAAGAGTTTCCAGGTGAAAGCAGGGCTGACTGTTGAGTCAGCCCTGCTGTGAGGAGGCAGTAAGCTGCAAGATGCTTGCCTCCACAGTCTTCGTTGGCTTGTATTCTACAGCAGTGGGTGCGTGTTGTCCAGCAGTTCCTGGAGAGCTGCTGGAGCCAAACCGGTGAGTTACGCTTGAATTACAAAAGCTGTGGATTGGCCAGTGTTACTCCAGGCTATTTGAGAGCAATGACTATTTGATTGCTGCAGCTCTGAATGGTTCAAAGCACGCAACAGCCGTACGGTGCTGTGAAGAGCGTATTTTGCTACAAGAGCATGAAGCACTCGCTTCTGGGAAGGTCTTCCTTGCACGTGTAGTGGGATCTCCCTGCCAGTGCTCCTCACTCATTTTGGGCCATCCATTCTGCTGTATTAAAGTGCTGAGAAAAGCCTTCTGTCTGGCACTCTTGCATCTTTTCTAAGCTCCTTTGAGGTTTCACAGAGTTTGTTTCATATTATCTGCATATTATCTGACTTCACAGCCTGATGTAGCTCTAGTAGGTTAAGAGCCATTTGTGCCTTCTCTGAAATGTCGCTGTGCACTTTGCTGTAGCCGCCTTCCAAAGCTTATGGCTATCTGGATGCATGGAGGTTTTATTTATTAATTTTTTTTAGTATCTAATCTAGGTATGAAAACTGTAAGAATTGGTGACCTGGTAGTTTCTGCAGCGTTCTTTTAACAGTTTGCCCTGATACTGCCTAAGATATTCTTAGCCTGGCAGAGCCTTTCCCACTGTCCAGCTCATGGGGTGAAGAACTGTTCATTTCAACATTGGGTCTTGACCTGAGCTGTATGCACTCCCCTCAGGGGAAGATAAAGTACCAGCAGCTCTAGCCTTCTCCCAGCCCAGAAGAACAGAGCCATACTCTTTCACCACCCTCATAAAAACCTGAAGCGCCAGAGAGGATAGATCTTGGTCACTACAGATAAGAGACCTATGCTCTTGGTGCCTGGGCTTTTTCTGGCTTGCTACCAATGAAATGAGGCAACAAGACACTTCCAGTCACAGATACATTTATTCTTCCATATCTGTACAGCTGATAGGTCAGTGCATGCTTCAAGCAGCAGTATCTAGAGAAATTTCTTCTCCTGCTAGTAGGATGAATAAACTGCTGTTGCTGTGTTACGAGCCTACATGAATGCTTACCTGTTTCCAGGCTGGGAGTGCCAACTGCACTTGAGTTAGGGGAGAAGAAACCCACAAGAAAAAAAAAAGGAACAGCTTTGATTTTTCACATCCAAACATGGTAGGAGAAGAAACACCAGTTTCTGTCTCTTGCCCCTTGCCATAGCTATGGCTTTGAGATGCAATGCTGTTGTCTCCTTGTAAGCTGCCTGCTTATCCACAAATTATGTATGCCATGTCCCTTTCTGTCCATGCTCTGCGGTGTCACATCCACATCCCCAAAATAACAAGTTTGTTGCCAAACAATGCCATTCTTCCATGAGGAGGAGATGCGCAGTCAAGAGTGGAAAATTCCCCATGTGGAGAATGGAAACTTGCCCACGAGGTTCCAGCAGACAGTGCTCTCATCTGAGCACAGAGCCTGTGAGCTCTGCACCGAAGGACTTCTTGGTAAGGGCAAGGACAGTCTGTGGTTCGTAAGGCAAGAACAACAAAACAGGCCACACACAACAGGAATGCTGCAGCATCCTTCCTCCTGCTAGGATTAGAGAAACTGGCAGCAGCAGTAAGTAAATACGATATGTTAAATGATAAATACCTTCAAATGGCGTAATCTCTTGGATTCTGTTTCCTGAGGGTCTGCAGAACATCCTCGAGAAGCGATAGCCCCAAATCCACTTTGAAGGACAGGAAGGGATCAGACAGGTCAGAAGGAGCGGTGCCATTCTGGGAACCTGTCGCCGAGGTCCCGCAGTCTGTAGCCTGGTCCTTGTGGAACTGAGTTTGAGTGGCTTTGTGGTATTGATGAGTAGCACCAGAAAAGGAGATGTCGGAGTGAGAATCTGTGTGATCAATGATGTTAGGGCAGCTAGAACTGTCCAGGTAGAGCCGTGGAGGCTTGGGAGGTGCTTGTGCCTTGGCCAGGTTTTGCTCACTCTGACATGACAGGTAATCAGACTTGTCCTTCAGATCCCTCAAGCATTCCCTCTTCTGGCACTGCCCATCACTGTCCAGAGTGTGGCTGTTCTGATTCAAGATGATGACTTGGTTGCCCAGCTTTTTGTGTCTCCTGAGTGAGAAACGTCTGAAGAACGTTGTGGACTTAATGGACCCTCTCCGCCAAGTATCCATGCTGATGAAAGGCAACGAGAAGAAGGAAACTGCTGACTCTTCACAGTCAGGTGTTGGACTGAAGTCGCAGGATCAGCAGCAAGCCACACAACAGGAACAACCTCTTCCTTCCCTGTTCCCGTAGCTGGAAGGAAAAAAAAGAGAGGCTGGTATTGCAGGAAATGCAAACTTCACACTATGTCCCTGTGTTAAGGAGCAATTGGCCTGTCTGAGATACCAAGGAGTCTCCTTCTTCAGTGGAGAAGGAATGGCGATATCTGAGCTTATTAAATTTGTGCTGCAGAAACAAGCTGCTGAAGAGTAGCAAAGGCACACAGTCACCATGAGAACAGATTTAATCTAGCATCTAGAACAGAAGGGCACTTTGGTACCATGGTAACCAGCCACCTTCATGGTGGAGGGCACAGTATAAAAATCTCGGTGGGTGGTTAGGAAGGGAGATGGTGACTCAGTCACACTGAAGGAAACCAAAGAAATAGTCGAATGGAAATGTAAAAAGCAACAGAACGCGGACGTAAAAGACAAGCGTTAGGAAAATTGAATGCAAAATAGACTTACGCTGTGTCGGAGCAGCACCTGAGTCTAACAGGCGGCGAGGAGAAACTGCGGAGGGACTCGGAGAACTCTGACCGCCACGTTCACCAGTATGCTGGGAGGTTGGAAGAAGCAAGTCCAGAGATGATTCAGCCAGGTTGGACCCAGAACGCTAAAAATCCACAATGCCGCCTTCCCTGCATGTGCCTCCTGTCACTGCTTCCCAGACTGCAGTTCCTTGTGCGTATGTATTTGTTTTGAGCCAAGCCCTTGCTGAGTCAGCCACGTCAGAAACTGGGTTTTACACTATTGGTAATTGCCAGGATTGCAGGAAGTAGGTGTGTAGAGTGGCAAAGCATCAGCCCACACTCTGCCTGAGGAGAAAGCAAGCTCCCTTAGAGGCACCCAGATTGCTTGAGAACCGTCAGCGGCAATATCGACTTGTAGCCCATCTTGAATCAGACTGTTTTTTCTCTTGGTGCTCTCCCTTCTGCCACTTCTGATGGCTTGTTCTATCAGCAGCGCTCCCAAACAAGGCCGGAAATAATCTCTTGTCTGTTTTAAATTTAAATCCAGAGTGTGAGGTAGTGATTCAGGTTGTATGGGTGATTCATCTGCATGAGTCTCATGTAGGCTGTTTCATTCAGCCAAGCAAATGACAGTAAGCACCTGTGGTTAGTGGACAGGCTCTTTGAAGAAGCCTAGTTCTGCCACTGAAGGCTGATACAATCTGGTGCTTTCTCAGACACTGAAAACCTGGGCTGTGCAGTACTGAAAGGTTATTTCATTCATGCAGCTCCTAAGACACCAATTATGGCATATTAGCCTCTTAATTTCCTGGTCTAAGTTTCTCAGCTATTGTGGGCTTCTATTTTGTCCTCGCAACTAGACACTCTGCAGCTGGAGGAACCACTTAGCTGGCACATGATAACAAATTTGCATTTGCCCCGTTTTCATGCAGAATCTTATTTAGCTATTCTATTGCCTTTTCATCCCTTTTATTTTCTATTTAAGTTGTCCTTAAATCACCACTAAATCTAATTCTTAGAAAAATGAACGTGAGATTTTTTTTTTTTCCCTTCACCTTCTGTCAAGATGCTTTTATTTCTACCTGAACTGTCAAGCAAATGAGATGGATGTTTCCAAGCATTGCAGTGCTTTAAATACATCTGAAATGGTATGGCCACCTACTAATGTTAAATGGCTTTTGAAAGTAGAGTGCCAAAACCACCACTTTGCGATAGCAGCTGTCATCTGCTGCCTACGTTTATTAGGTAGAGTCTGCAGTCACCACTTAGCTGACGTGACAGTTGCTACCACACACAGCAGAAAGGCTCCAAGAGCTTTTGAGAACTAAAACACTCTTGTGTCAGGTTTGGGAACATACCCGCTGGCTTGCTTTCTGCAGCCGCTTCCATGACTAAACCACAGAAAGGTTTTATTTTATTTTTTTTATGGCATTAGCCTTTGTAATGGATGAAGTGTATGCTGGACTCTGTGCACCAGCGTTGTACTTGCAGAGCAAGCTCGGCACCCAGAATAACCAGCCACAGCGAGGCAAGCCGTGCTTCCCCATCCAGCCTTGCTGTGAGTAGGGAGTAGCTCCAGCAGCAAGAGGGTAATTCCGGCTCCCTGTCTGTCCTGTTCTTTGCCTCGCCGCTGACACTCCTGAGGGTCAGTAACGCTGTTAGGAAGCAGGCTACGTTCTGCAGGCCAGGAAGCTTTCGCACCTTACCCCATTTCCCTGGGGCCATACTGCTACGGACTGCCTTCCTGACCCGAACGTGCCTGTTGTGAGCGTGCTTTATGGAGAGGGGGACTGGGGAGTGTGCAGTCCTTGACAAGTTGCATTTGTTTTCTGTTCTTAGGCATCAGTGGTATCAGAACGGGATTACGAGAGCCTGGTGATGATGCGGATGCGCCAAGCAGCAGAGAGGCAGCAGCTTATTGAACAGCTCAAGCGGGAAGATGAGGAAGAGTCTCACACCTAGCATGAGAGTATGGATTCTCCCCACCCCATCATTTTCCATTTCCAAAGTTGTTTCTTAAATTAAGTCAATAAACCTCCTTTGTTTTTTTTTTTTTAAACTGTTGTAGAAATAGAAACTCTCAGTGACTGCAGCCTTTATCCCTTTCCAGAGTGGGGTGGGGGGAAAAAGGCTGCCTCAGCTTTAGAGTGAGTGTGTTAACCTGTTGGTCTGTGTACTCAGAGCAGCTGCCCAGTCACAGAGGATAGGGTGTGAGAGGTGCTATTGGAACACCAAGCCTTGGAGCTTCTTTTAATTCCTGAAAGCTTGTGCAGGAGCTGTGGATCCAGAAGGCTTTGGCAACAACTGTTTAAAACAACCCACAGGAAGACATTGGTCTCTTTAGAGAAATGTTTTATTGGTGTTACCCCTACAGCAGGATTGATACACAGTCCCAAACAATCCAGCAATCCAGCAGTGCAGCTGCTGCTGTTGAGATTACAGAGCCTGTGCCTGAAATGTTCACAAGACCTTCCTAAGACTATTTCAGGAACGATGTGTTATGCTTGAATGGCACTCCTGGGGCTGAAAGTCTGACGCTGCTGCTGACCACAATCCCATTTGGGAAGAGAAACTGGCCTTGCTGCCGAGTGAAGGCGTTCTGAAAGAGCACTGTGTAAGTTTAGCAGCTCCCACTTACGTTTCAGGGATGAGACAGGATGCCATCCATGCTTGGCCTCCCCTCCCTGCCCCCCATGCCCTGGGAGAAAGCATGCCCTGAGCTCTTGCGGCTCAGCGCGGACCTCTCTGGGCAGCCCTGAGGAACAGGCGGACAGGTCTGTTATTTGAGCTCCTCCAATGCGTTCTAAATACGAGATGATTAAAATGTAAAAAGATGGTATTTGCCAGACTGCCCTTCGGCTGAATGTGGAGGGAGAGCCATCTGTTCTGCGTGCGAGATTTTGTCTGGACTGGGCATACCTTCCTCCCCCCGGTCTTGTGAAGCGGCAGGGATGGCAAGTTTCCTTTGGGTCAGCTTTTTGCCTTTACACCACTCCTCCCCCCGTGCCCGAGTGCCTGGAGTCTGGGACAGAAAGGAACTAAGGGGCAAAGTTTGCTGTCAGTCCTGTGTGAGATGGGCCTCAGCAGGATCTTGTCCAGATGGAAGGCAGAAGTCTTCCTCGCTATTCCTTGTGGAGGCACCACACCAGTGTCTGGCCCACGCCTGTCATGCTCACCACCCGGTAACCACAGCTCTCCAGCTTGTTCAAGACTATCCGCGGTGCGTCGTTCACGTAGTACTCCCAGCTGCAAGCAGGAAACAGGAGAAGAAATAAAATGAGGTGGAGGAGAAAGAGACAAGAATTTCCTTGTGGAATTGACTCTGCCCCGCTACTAAACCGCTGTAGGACACTGCAGTGATCACCTCTGGCATACTGACTGTTTGGTTAACCAGCTGGGGAAGGCCAAAACCCACAGCTACCAAACCAAGGAGAAAGCCTGTCCAAAATGGAGGGTCATGTTAAACTGGAATGTGGCTCAGGGACCAGTTGTCCAAAGCCACGTGCTGCTCGGTTAACTGGGCTGGAACTGGAGCAGAGAGGGTTCCCACGTACTCACAGCTGGGAATTCATGGAAAAAGAGAATGATTCTACAAAGCAGGGAAGAATGATTCAGGTGTTTCTAAGGAATGTAAACCCCATGTTTTGTCTATGTCAGAGCATGTCTGTAAATGGGGTGGTTTTGAGAGGGTGTGCTTGAAATTTGGGGATTGGAAAAAAACACTGCCTTCAGCCAAGTATTAAGCCTTTGACAAACCAGAAGTCATCAGTCCTCAAGAGAGCTGCCAAGTAAGGAGGAGCGCAGGCTCTGCTCTGCCCTGGCAGGTCAGGGCAGTTCCATGGGCGTCGAGGAGCTGACACCGGCGATCTCTGTCCGCTCTTCTGCGGTTTCTGCTGGCCATGCATGTTTGGGGCAGAAGCTGTCCTTCCCTCCTCTGCCTGATCCCTGAGGCTGCTTCTCCGCAGAAGACTCGCGGGCTGTGGGACTGCTCCCGCCATAAAGAATAGAGACTGTGATTGTGGGGTGGAAGAATAGCACAGTAGAGGCACAAAAGGGGCTGAATTTACGTGGGGAAGTAGCAGAGCTGACATGGCAAGTATAACCTTCAGCGCTGGATTTGGCAGCCTTTCTGTTCCTTTAACGCAGTCTTTTTGGATGCAGTATTTGTTCAAGCAGATGGGATAAACATAATAGTTTAGCTCTTAGATGACTCACTGTGCCAGATAAGCTGATAATGATGGGCTGCAGGATCATTGGTGTTCTTGTTTGGGCACCTTAGCAAAGACTCTCCTGATTTTCGTACCAAAAGTAAAAAAAAAAAAAAAAAAAAAGACCCAAAACCATATCCAAAGTTTCTTTTGCTAAGATTGCAAAACATTAATGGAGTGGTGAGTGCTTTTAAAGCGTGAAATACCACCAAGATGTGAAAGCTTTTTTTTCAGTTTCTCAAGACAGACTATACTTTGCTGTAATTATAGATGTGGTGTAAAGATAATATGTGTTATTATAAGTGTCTTTGAACTTAATGCTTTCTCTAAGAGGCTTGCCACATACCCATCAGCTTCACATGTTGGAGTTGGTAAATATTATTCCCATTATGCAGAGGAAGGAGCGGAGGCCGGGATTGTTTACTATTTGTAGGAACCTAAAAAACTGAGTGGCTGAGCTAAAAGCGGAAGGAAAGCCGAGTTGTCCAGGGCTTTAAACGCAACTCCATATTGAGTGAAACAAAAGATGGGACAGTGCCTGTCAAATACACCGCAGTCTCCGTGTGCCACCAGCCCGAATCGGGGCGAAGCGGTTGGGAACGTTTGCAAAGCCTCCCCTCCCAGCCGCACGCCGGCAGGGAACAGAAGAGTCACCCGGGAGCGGAGAAGGCTTCTGCCCTTGCGTGTCGCGAGCCCGGGGCCCCGGCCGCCCT